GCCAACAATGAAAAAGGCTCCGAGAACAGTCCAAAGAAGGGCAAAATTGCGCATATGTATGTGATCGTCTAGAAGATTGACGAAAACTTTATCAACATTGCATCGAGTTTTGATGTGATATTGTTGAATAACAAGTTACGAAAGGAGAGGCTTGATGAGCAGTCATAAAATGCTTCTCAATCCAGTTGTTTGCTCGACTAGTAAAAAAATGTATAAATATATCCCCAGACAAGCTGCCGGGCAAATTGCCATCTGGAAAAGGCATTCGTTATGGAATTAACATACTTCCTGGTGCGATGTATTATATCAAATTGTAGTGTCTGTAGTCAGAACAACAAAATATTGCAAGCGATGAGATTTATGCGCAGCAAAAGAAGGTCGGTCATGCGCGTGATTGCAAGATTTCGAGTTGTAGCCCGCCTTTTGTGCAAAGAAGACATTTGGTGAATGACGCAATGTTCATACTTTCAATAAGCTAAGTGGTGCGATTGTACCAGCGCACAGACTCCGGGCCCAAGCAAGGATGTAATCCTTGATAGAATGGTTGGCAGTACTGCATCGATCCATAAGATGGTTTATACCGATTCGCAAAAATGGTTCCACAAACAGCAATCAAGACATGATTTCGGAATGGTTAGTAATGCCCCATGTCTTCAAAAATCGGGAAGGGGATTAATGTCGATGTTTGTATTGATCGTCTTTGTTAACGTCTCCTCCTTTACGCGATTAAAAAATTCAAGCTTACCTGAAAAAGTGCAATTTCTTTGCATCCCAACTCCTCGATCTTGGTTGATTTGCGGGAGAGAACGGCGTTTGTGTACATACGTCGAATGTCAGATCTATCAATAAATTACCGTAACCAAATTATGTGTAACAGCCGAGCCGATGGCTGGCTTGACCAACCATTGGCACAAATACACGCGCAATTTTGCAGCGTTCGTATGATCCCTAACGTTGGGTGGAATGATCAGATATTCCAAGCGGTATTTGTCAAAGTAAAGTAGAGCTTCCGAGAAGCTTTGTCGTTGTACAAATCACGACAAGCCACTCCATGTCATCTGCGAGTCATGTGACTATGCCATCGGCTGTGCGTTGATGCAACACGATGATGAGGGTCAGGAACGAATTGTTTTGTATCAGTCGCGACGACTTCGGCCCGCGGAACGTAATGACTCAGTTCATAACAGCGACCTTTAGCGACGAAATATACTTTAGTTGAGTTCCGTGTATACTTACTTTGAAAAGAGCGCTTTACCATCCAAACGGATCATGCCTCGCTGCGTACAGCAGTAAAGACTCCTAATTTATTGCAGAGAATGGATTAATGGCTTCATTCTTCGCAAAGTGCAACTTTGTTATACACTACAAGTCAGGCAAAACGAACATTTTTGCTCACGCTTTGTCAAGACTCAGACTATTATTCAAAGCCTACGAGCGAGGACATGCACGAGTCATGTCGACAATTTGAGGATGTTCAGACGATTTGCGTGCGAGCCATGACTATATTAAGAGAAGAAATTGTCGAAGGATTCAGTACAAGCCTAAAGAGAGATATATCAGGGCTTGTTGAAGGAGCTCAAGGACCATTTTGACGAAGCACTGCAAGATCTTACGTCTAGCACAAGATCGCGAGTTCATCGGTATGAAGTACACAATGGAAGGTTGTACTGTGCTGTCGAACACAGGGGAAACAGCAAGGTTTGTTGTCCTAATGACGAATATTTACTTCGTCTCCTCATAAATCAGTTTCATGACAGCCCTTCGGGTGTCCATCTCGGACTAATGAAACATTCCACTTTATTGAACGACTTATAGTGACTACGCAACACGTCCGCCTGGATTTGATTCGCACGTTCAGATTGACAATATGCTTTAGAGCGTACCGCTAATGACATGGTTAGTTCGGTGCCCAATAGCTCAAATAGTGCACGCCAAAAACTTTGACATGAAACGGTTGTAGCGGTCAGATAAGATATTATCAGAAGGCTGACAGCGGGAAACAACAGCTTCAACGACTCAAGCTGTCTTGTCGACAGGAATTTTATCCAAAGCAACTTTACAATGCAATTTCTTGCTGAATTGGTCCATTGACAGAGGTTTATTATTGCGTCCATTTGTCTCGTTTGAAAGACCAGATACGAAGTCCATTCTCACGGGCTTAAAGCTGTCAGCTGGATTGTGTAGTGGGCCAGGCCCTCATACTTTGCGTATCTCACATCAACTATACACCCAGTATAGTTGTATATCCCCTTTCAGTTTGGCTGTATCATAAGTACATATCATTTTAGGGAGGTTAAAAGCGAATTGACTATAAAAATTTTACCTTTCATCTTCTCTACGTAAGTCAGCCGCCCGCGGGAAGCGAGAGACACGCGGTGAGGCGCGTCGGTTGACCTAAGCCTTCCTCAGAAAAGTTTGTGTACACGAACGGGCGATCCCGTTACACATTGCCAACGACCAAAAATGGTCCTGACTGAAATCGATGGTTTAATCTCTGACAAATAATGCAAGTCCTCACATACCAGCGAATCCGCTTATACGTGCAGCAAATGAAAATCGTAGGAAAAATACAAACGATAGTTTTTGCCTCTCGCAGAATTTGCGCTGAACATCTCCACGCATGTCTCGACAGATTACTCGCCATTTTATCTAAACTACGGAATACATTTTAGAGTCTTTGCCTCCATGATGGGCGAGGTCTATACCTTTTGCGGGAATGACGGAGCCACAGTCAGACCACCGACACACTCACAAGAATTCACAATTGCCCCGGTAGACCGCCCTGCGTCCACTGGGTATTGGCGTTTCCTGAATGCCTCGTGACATTGATACTACGTGGTTCGGGACCACTACGCCTAGATTGTCTCCCACGTGGTTAATCACGGCGAATGTGACCAAATTCTTGACACCATAACAGCAAATTTGCTGCCCACGTACAGTCGCCGAGATGAGATCCATTGGTTCTGAGTTTCCACTAGTAGCAGTTATTGCTTTCATTGGATGATCGATTGACCAGGTACTTGACGTTGGCAGTAGACCTCAAGTAATACTATCATAATTGCGTCTTCCGTGGTCATCGAGCTCTGGCGGAAAACTTCAGTCTTGGTGGAGCATAAGTGAGTCTCTTCATGAACACAGTAGCCATCACTGCATTTGGCAATGGCCCGCGGCCATGCTAGCACGTCGCTCACGGATTTATGTGCATAGTCGTACAATGTACTGTTGTCTTGTCGACACGACAAGACTTCGAACGTTTTTGAAATGTCATTTACGGTGGAAGGAACATCAATTTCATGGCGCTTTTCAACTCTTGCCATATGGCAAAGTTGTCGGGGCGGTTAACTTCCCATGTCATCGCCCAATCCTTCGCACGGCAAATGCAACACGGAGAAGGCGACTTTACTGCGGTTATCACAAATTTGAGCCATCGCAATAGCGATGTCCGTATCTCACTGCAGAATGCAAGATTTTTCGATCCGTGAAAGCTTTTCACCGTAGTTTTCACATTTTCACGGGGCGTTCCGTGTGTACCAACGGTGTTACCACTGCTTGTGGTGAAGGTGACGGAGCTGGCGTCGGAATGTTCTGAAATAGAACCCCCAATAACCCTTGCTCATACACAGTGAAATTCGCAAAGCATTGAGTTGTCACTTCTGGATCTCACTGGAACATGTCTAAGACCGCGTGATCCCGGATTGCAGCTCACAGCTTAACCACACAATCCCATTGCGAGTGTGTTTGGCGTGAATATTCCTACCTGTTGATCTCAATGCGACCATCGCCTTGGTGCCCACATGATCCATATATGAATTGATCGAAGTAGTCGTCAAGGAATGACTACTATTGCTACCAAGTGTAACAGAAATTACCCGTCCGTATACACGCACTTAATGAGGACGACAAAAATAAGTCAACACGCTTCACCGTCTGTTGCTCACTTCCAGCGAGCCGCTAATTTGCTTGAAATAGTGAAGTGACATTTATTATGGCCAAAATGCCTTAAACCTTTTCTATGCTGATACGTTCCTCCAATTGTGATATAACAGGAATAAGGGATATGCAGCTATGCAGGATATCTAGTTAATATTAACCTCACACAGAATGATGGGGCTCAGACAACATGTGTATTGGGACTGACCGCATAACAGCATTTGACATGTCCAATCTGATGCCGAGCACCTTTAAGTGTAATATTGCTAGCTATCCCGCAACTTTAACATTCGCTAATAATGAGAGAAGTGATGAGAAGAAGTCTTGTAATTACCTCTCAAACTAAACCGACTATGTCTTTGTTTTAGACCTAATCTAAATTTGCCAGCGACGCAATGGGCTGCTGGATCCTGTAGCGGGACTACCCCAGCTAATCCCCCTCATTCAATTTACGTAACCGTAAATCCAAGTCAAAAATTTATCCTAAATCAGGCTGGGGAAAATCCACAATACACTCGGAGACATTCTTCAAGTACGCACAAGACAGAATAAGAGCCGCGACATGTGGCTCCACCGTTGCCAGCGACGGCATTGCGTTGCTGAGAAAAAAGGGCTGAGCTGTTTTCAAAGACACACCTCATTTACCCCATACGGAAATGTACGACTTTTGTGGAGCCAAAATGTTGAAGATTTTGATACGAGTAAGTAAATGTCATGCGATTCTGCAGTGCATAAGAAAAGGACCAACTACGCTTGCACCCACGATGTTGTCGTGCTACGCCTTCATTCGACGATAAAGTGCTTCTAGACGCAGAAGTGTCGAATACTTTGCTACGTGTGTGAGGCTACACACGGCCGGTACTCCACTGCACGACTGCACAAGCGGGTATGCGAAGTGGTGACACCTGTGCCTCGTGGAATTTGCTGGGATGATGAATGCGCTGCCATAATCTACTCAGGCGCTGATGGACCATAACGCAAAGACATTTTTGTTAACCTGGTACGAGCGGCGGTGGTCTGAGCTCCATTCGCACCCATTCTATGAGAAGCGCCTTGCCGATGGCCGTCAATCATGTGTCTGCAAGCTCTACGAAAGTCATCGCCCTCGTTGCCCGCGCACCGCAAGGTGAGGTTGCAGCAGAAGACCAAGTGACCATCATTATCGCAGACACAGCAGAGAGACGAGTGACCGTGGTAGCAGTCGCTATGAGAACCGTATACCCGCATACGGCCGATATGACGAGACAAAGTTCAACTCGAGATGCTCGCAAAGTCTAACTCGAAAGCAATCAGTGATATCAAGTTCGGCGTCGAGTTCGTGTGAATCTTCTCGCAAACGCTGATTTATGTAGCCGCTGTCTTCTTTGTCACCATGGACGGGGTATCTAGTAATCCTGAACCTTTTTCGGGGTATCGTTCATCAAGCGGCTGCATGGCCTCCATGTTCTTGCACTTGCGAGAGTCCCAGCCATCACTCTCGATAGTTCCGCTCAATATACCTTGGGGCATCAGGCCCCGCCCCTGATGCTAAACAGAGATGTGTATCGTAACTATGCGTTCGAAAATTCAGCGCCAAATGCAGCGTGAGGTTATCAGCGAAGGCGATCCGTTTCTGCATCGCGACCCTGTCCATGTGTTTCCGCTGTAGTTCCAGAGTCGACGTCTGGGGGAGTCAGGCTGGGCGCCCGTAGGTGCGAGTGCGGG